CGCCAAGTGTGAAAACGTCTTCTGTCTCTTCTTGTTCCTTGGCCTGAACTCTTGTCCCTTGGACTGCTGAGTTATCTTGAACTTCTGGAACCCCTGACCTTCGGGCTGTCTAGACACTCTGCCTCTGTGGAATCCTAGACCTTTGGACTGCTTGACCATTCTCTGGCTGGACCTTTGGATTGGTAATACAGACCTTTGCTTTCTTGCTTTGTGTTAGCAAAAGACCTTTGTTACCTTCAACTCTCACAAGAAACTGTTATCAGCACTCTTGGCAGATTCCCTGGACAGGTCCCTATGTTTAATAAGGGATGGGAGTAATAGAAAATTATTGCTGTTGGAGTAATAAGATGACAGAGACTGCTTAGGTATTGTAATAGTAAAGTTATAATCATTGTGTATTAAGAAAGTATTACATTTAAGTAGTTTATATAAGAAGAAGAAGTCCACGACAAGGAAGTCCATTTTTATCGGTTTTTTTTTTGTTTGTTTGTTTGTTTTTAAACTTTTTTCTGGTGTATTAAGGTAATTGTGAAATGTGTGTATTGTATGTTGGCATGTTGATATGCTGGTTAGTTGGTTTGGGTATTCTGTAAAGTAGATATATGTATATAAGGTATTTTAATGTTTTGTTTAAAATAAAGATTATTTAAAAAATAAAGGATGAAGCAAAGGAAAACAATACTAAAAAACTTACAAAATTACAAAATTCCAGCAGACATAACTCTTTGTGCTCACTCTTGAGGCTGGATAGATGAGAGAGTAGAAGGGGGTTGGTGCTTCCAGGACAGATTATACTCCTGCCCCAGTGAAAGTGAAAAAACACAAATAAAAAAAACACTACATTTTTAACTTGACGGACCACCTCTCCAGGAATCGCTAGGTCCACCAGCACAACTCTATGGTCAACATTTGCCAAAAGTTGACCATAGAAATATGCTGAGGGGGCCTACAAATGCCTAGAGAAGTGTTTTCTCTAGCAATCTCTATATCTTCCCGTGCAACCCTATGGTCAACTTCAGGCAGAATTTCCCTGGAAGACCAAGGGATTCCTAGAGAGAACATATTAATCAAATCCGCAAATAATCAAATCCACAAAAGTCAAGGCTACCAATGTGGAGTATCTCCCTGGGTTTGAATCAGGCACTCTTTGGATGCAAAGCATGTATTAGCACCAGTGAGCTGTGATATTCTAAAGACTCGTCACAATATCTGATTGTTTTAAGTGCCAACAGTCAGAGCAATATAAAAGAGAGCATTGTTTTCTTTCCTTTGCTCCCTGATTCTATCACTATCTGTTCGGAACTGAGAACCACTGTGTCAATGGCATTTGTTGTATAAGATTTTAGCCTTTTGGTGCAATGCTATACATGTCTGCTTAGAAGTAAGTCATATTAAATTCAGTGGCACTTTTTTTGGAACAGGTATGTACAGCATTGCAACCTTAAAAGTACTAGAGCAAACTACAGAACTGAAGGGATAAGGTCTTTGGTAGATAAAGATTTATCTTTCTCCTCCAAAACAAAATGGCTGAGGTTCTGATAATGGTTGTTTTGTTTTTTTCTACTGTGACAATGCTTCACAGGAGATATTTTTATGGAGATCATTAAAAATCTACCCTAACCAATTCCCACCTTTAAGATCCACAGCTGTATTTCTTAGTTAGCTGCTAGGTATTCTCTTTAACTTTCACATAAATTTTCAGTTCCAATATAGCATGTG